CAAGAACCGACACTCTTAATGTAACCTTCACTGTTGGTTGGGACTACAAACCGGTAGTGTTATTTAACTGGACACTGTCGGGTGGACCCAGAAACCGACACTATTGCCTGTAGATCAGTGTCGGTTTTTAAGAATCGACAGTGATATCAACCCTCCATCACTGTCAGTATGCCACTATTGGTTTAAAATCTGGTAGTGAAAGGGGTTTTTGAACCGATAGTGATGTTCAGGTAATACCTGGGATAGTGCATCGAACTCCGAGAAACTGGTGAGGCGCCGTTGCACAGGAAGGAAGAGGGGGCCATAGGCGGAGACGGCGGCGCCGAACTTGTCTTTCACAGTGTATAATAAATCAATGATACTAATAAAGTCATTAATTTTATATGATAATAATCTTTGTACACAAGTCTAAAACGACCTAATTTTATAATCAGAGGGAGTATTCTTCATGGACAGGTGACCATGACTACCGTAATTAAGAGCACGCGCGCGCACAAACACACAATTTTTCAGAAAAGTAGACTATACAAATTCATAGTGCATGTATGGATGTACATGGTCGTAAAATTTGGGATTTAGACTCAATCTAGAAAAAATCATATTAAAACAATAAACTTTGGGTATATGTATGCATCTCACATTTGTTATTTTCACATGATATTTTTAGAAAACGAGTTTGAACCAAATTTTGCGATAGCGTACATCCGTAGATACACTATGGGGTGGGAACGGCCTGGCTGACCGAGTGGTCAGTGCAGGCTCAGTACCTCCCCTGGGGTGGTCAGAGTTCGAGTCATGAGTGACTTACTCTTTATTTGCGGCTTCGGTCGCAGTGATCAGGGAAAAAAACTCTCTCTCATCTGTCCCACATCAAAAGCACATGTCTATGATTAACTCATCTTACGGAGCTGCGGTGCCGCTATGTACGGGTGAGGTAAGGGTTCAGGGTTTTCTCGATCTGCGTGAGAAGATCTTTTTCTTAAGCCGGAATATCTGGGGGATGTCTAGCTGGATCGAGTTTTTTTAAGATACACTAGGGTTTTGATTTTTTTGAGAACTCGGCAATATTTTCTTTTTCTAAAGGGTTTTCATTATTTCACTGAGTGAAGGGTTTGCATTGCATATTTTTCTTGTATATATGAGTGAGATAAACATTTTTTTTCTTTGGTTGAAGGCTTGTGCACTTATGACTTACACATCAAGATTTGAACACGGGATTTGATACACTGCAATGCTTGATTCTTAAATGAGTAATGCGGATAGGTCAGATGGTCATATGCACAAGAGCATATGCCAAATCTTACTTTGCCGTGTGAGATCCACGAGCCTTGCTTCACGTGGATCGCATTAATTAGCTTACATGGGCGCTTATTAATTACTCTACACTTCGCATTTTCGCTAAATTAATTACGACGTGCGCCAACCGCCGAGTGATGGAGAATTGGATCGAGATCCTCCGCATATGCACCAGTACCATCCAACGTTGCGATTTTACCAACCAATAGGGAAGAAAAAAACATCTGCAGGCAACATCACCGATCGAGTAGGCGAGACATCGAGCTCTAAATTAAATTTATCAAAACAACCTTTGGTTGGCAAGCTCGTTCCGTCGTTCGGTGATGGTTTACTTGATATTTTCCCTTTGTAATCCATGTCAACGTTAGTTAGCATTAAAACAAATCAAATCATCTTGCAACTGCACTTATTGTCCGTATTCAGTTTCTACTGTTTAGAATTGTGTAAAAATCTTCATATTATATATCTCGATGAAAGATACTAGTTCTATTTAAAAATATATATATATATACCATCTTCGCTAAAAATTGTTATTTTAAAAAGAGTACTCAGTTAAAATATCTTAAATTTAATTAAATTTATATGTTAACGTTTATCATACTAAATAAGTACTTATCATTAAGATTATTATGAAGATATATTTCATAATATATAAATATTTAAAATCTTAAAAATTTATATTATTATATTTACATTATATACACTCAGTCAGTCAAATTTAAACTAATTTAGTTCCAATCAAACTTATAATTATGTCTTTTCAAGAATACATGTAGTGGCGTACCAGCTCCTCCACCAACAACGGAAGCTCGGTTGGCTAGTTCCGACTGGGTTTGGGCAGCCCACCCGTGTTCGAGCGCTGACCGGCGCAGGTGCCTCACCCGAGAACAGTTGTTCCAAAAATAATTTTTAGGTGATGCGCCACAGTGGTTCGGATGACGTGCCTATTACATTATATGCGCCACAGTGGTCCGGACGACGCCTGTTACGTTCAAAGCCTCGATGAATACCTTTTAGCCAGGCATAAAAAAAAACAAAGCCTCCAAAAGATCGAATCACATTAATTAACTCTGCCACGAGTCACGAGAGGCCAAGCATGGGTCTCAATTACTCCCCACTGAACGCCGGGACCCACGCGGCGTGGCCAATCAGGAGGAGCCCATGCCGTGCTTCGGGCGGATCAGCTTTCACGGACTGAGGCGCGGGGCCCTCCGTCCAGCTGGCCCAGCGGCGATCACGCCACTCGTTTGAGTTGGCACTCAGCAGCCGTTCACACTTCACACTAGGCGCACCCTGTTCTTCAATGCTTCTCGATCTTATGCCTGAATCTATGGTAGGTGGGCCACAGGTCCACATGATCTGATGTAACCTGGAGGCATAGGATGCCGTATTGAAGAGAAAAACAAGCACACATTTTTCTTACGTTCCTACCTCTGTCCCTAAAACTATATTAAATTTCACTAAATTTATAAGAAACAATATCAACATGTATGAATTACTCCTAATAAACAAATTGTGGAAATATATTTCACAATAATTCTAATAATATTTATTTAGTAGGTCAAATATTAGTATCTTCTCATATTAATTTGGTCAAACGAAAACCTATCATTTGACCCAGTACTGTTTTAGAATTATATATCATTTATGGGACAAAGAGAATATGTGAATATACAAATCCATTCCCTGTGATGATTAATTTATAGCTAGCGAGAGAGCATATCTAGAAGAACAGATGTTAAAAGGAGATCATGATGGCCTCATGTCGTCTTCATCCTTGAGACCCTCCTTTCTCTCTTCCATGGCATGAACAAAAAATATAAGGGTTCCATTGTCATAGAGGGGGGAGGCTTGAGACCCACCACTCTTGCCTAGCGACACCCAATAGACAATTACTCTCCATTGTGTAAAATAATTCTAGCATTCAAATGTTGTCTCAATAAAAGATTGCAACTCTAGCTTAGGACTACCTTATCATTATAAGACCCTCGACTCTACGTATGGTTTGGTAAAAAGTAGTGTAATATGTTGAGATAAAAACAGACAGAGTCGATACTACAATATAAAACATAAAGGTGGTCAGTATGAGATTTTTATGTGTTTATCAAAATAACTAATCGAAAAAGGTAAAAAAAATGATTGTTCTAAAGTCACAAAATGACTTCTTTTCATGTTCTGGTAAACAAACATAAATGGTCAAAAACAATGCCATGATACAATATAGATCGATACATAATTTCCATGTAATGCTTACATACATGTGCATGGGACCAATAAAGTAGTAGCATATAGTTCATGGATATAATTATCTGACTCGGTTCGACCAACAGGGAAATAAAAAGGAGAATTGGTATGTACACCATTTGGCTGTTCACTAATTTGTCCTAAAATACGAGAATTGCATTCTTTATGGACGGATGGAGTATTCGGATATTTTTTTCTATGGCTCGAGCTTCATTGTCAAGCTATTTTTTCAAAAATAAAATTTGAAACTATTTTTGATGAACTAAATTATTCTTGTTATGTCTGTTCTAATGAATGTCTAAATATTCTAAAATATGTTATTGACTAAGTATGGGAAGCATTATGAGCACACGTTTTTCATAATGATCACGGTCAAAACCTACTAGCAATACCAATTTTGGAGCACATTTAGAACTACCACCATGGTTGTGATGATCATGGCTCTAGTACAACTTGTCTCATGCCTGTTTGCGCGACGGTGACACGAGCAAGCCCATATTATTTTAGTTGACAAAATTCATAACATGCACTGAGTTTTTCTTAATCTCATGGGATTTAGTAGAAAAACTTGAATCATGATGGGACATGGCCCTTATATCGCCTCCTACATAATCTGTCATCAGTTTGTTACTAGGGTTAAATTATGCGAATGATAGACAAATAAACTGTTCAAGCTTCATTAATCTAGTACTATCTTTAAAAGAACAATTCGGAAACTAACGTGGCACGATTAAATGCATTATTTTCATCATGCTATTCCTAATGGATGTCCAGGTGTTTTGAAATGCGTTGTTGACTAAGTATGGAAAGAGTTTAATGCTAGCACACATTTTTCATGACACAACCTGGTGGCAATAACCAATTTTTGAGCGCATTCATAACCATCGCTTCCTGGCTTTCTACAAGATTTTCATCTGGCGTCACATTTTTCGAAAGCTTAAAACCCTTTCCTAGTTTTCTCCACTCCAAAAAAAAAAACCATTCCCCCACGGTTACCACAAGTGTAAACGCCTTTTTCCTCGCAAAAAAAAAGTGTAAACGCCTTTCACGAGGGGCAAACGCGGGGTGCCCCTAGCAAGCGACTCCGTCCGAGCTGTCGGCTGTCGCCCCCACGCCGAGCAAAGCAAAAAAAAACGCCAGGCCCACAGGTTAGTCAAACGCGTAAACGCGGAACGCTCGGTGACAGGTGGGGCTCCACAGGCGCATTGTTTTTTTCGTCTCTGGCGCCGTTGGGTGGGTCACCGTGGGCGGTGAGCTGACCGCCGCGCCATCGGTGGGTGCTTATTCGGGCGCCCCGCCTCCGCGTATATATACACGCGCACGCAATGTACTCGAGGAATTTAGGGGGGGAGCCAGCGAAGCCAAGGCAAGCCAGGCCAGCGGCGGAGCAGAGAGAGAGAGACAGGAGGCGGGAGGAGAGGGGAGGAGGAGCTTCTAGAGGGTTAAGGGAGGCGACCGCCATGGGGGACTCCAGCGGCTCCGTGTCGGTCGACGTCGAGCGGATCTTCTTCGGCGGCAAGGTCCGTGCGCGGCCTCCTTCCTCCTCTTGATTTTTCTCCCATTTATGTTTGGTCTGGGTGCATTCGTGTGGGGAGGGTTTGAGTTTGAGTTGGGTTCGTCGCCCTGGGGTTTGTCCTTGCTCTTTCTCGGATAGCTATGGCGGTTGGTTCGGTAGGGGTGTTTGTCATTAGAAATTTATGTTCCCTCTTTTCCCCCTATTTTCTGCTATTAGCGGCAATGCTTGTAAATTGGGGATAAGAGGATTAGCTATTGAATGATAGTTTTTCCCCTTCTCCTGTGTTGTGCGGCGGCACTGATTTCAATCTGTACCTATGATGCTGGCATGTGGCTGTAATTGAGAGAACCCCCAACTATCTATGGTTGATGATGTTCGAGAACATGAAGACCGACAAGGCGACAAGTTAGGTGGCACGGATTTTAGTTGTTTATTGTTAATGCAACTCCTGCCCTGTTTATACGGCAATGCTCCTGTTTATACGGCAATGCTCCTGTGTGGTGTCTGACGATTATCAGTAGCAAGGGGGGGATTGTTTGGTCAACTGATGAGGAATTAGATGTGTAATATGGCAACTCGAAACATGTCTGATTGTATTGTTTCTCTGTACGGTACTGAATTCTGATGATCCTAAACATGTGCATGTGACTTTTGTTTCCTCAGGAACATCGAGTAAGAACGAGGCATGGCCCTCTATCGGTTTCTGTATATGGAGACGAGGACAAGCCCGCGCTCGTAACTTATCCGGATGTAGCCTTAAATCGTGAGTGCCTTTGTTTTCTCTAGATTTTTTTTGGGTAAAGATAGCAAGCTTTGCCATAGATACAGCAACTTAATACATTTGGGAAATTCTTCTTGTTTGGTAGACATGTCTTGCTTCCAAGGATTGTTCTTCTGTCCAGAGGCTGCGTCGCTGTTACTTCACAATTTCTGTGTGTACCACATCACACCTCCAGGACACGAGGTCAGTTATGATGTGTGTTTTTTTCTTGCATTGATTAGTTCAGGCAACCAACCACTTACCATTCTTTTCATGTTAGGTTGGGTTCTTACATTTTTTTTAATTGTGTATGTTAAGTATTGCAGTTAGGAGCAGCTCCGATTTCAGCTGATGTGCCTCTGCCATCTGTTGATGACCTTGCAGATCAGGTTGCTGATGTCCTCGATTTTTTCAGGTAGTGTATCAGGACATTTGCTGAATTCCGTATTACTACTTTGGATTCGTATAGAGGTGGTCTCCCTGATGTTGTAATCTTGGTTTCTTCCCTGCAGTTTAGGTTCTGTCATGTGCTTGGGTGTCACTGCTGGTGCCTATGTTCTCACCCTCTTTGCAGTAAGTGTGACCATGAGATGATAACTTTTGGGTTGTTTTCCTGTTGAGCGCTTGCTAAGAATGTTTTGTGGACACCATCACAGACGAAGTATCGGGAGAGGGTTCTTGGCCTAATGTTGGTTTCACCTGTATGCAAAGCCCCCTCTTGGAGCGAGTGGTTGTATAATAAGGTCATAACAAGCAGCTTTATTTCAGTTATTTCAGATGCCTTATGTCCTCCTGTCAATTATTCATTTCATTATGCAGTATTTTAGTGTGTTAACATGGATCTCATGTCCCAGGTATTATTAAACTTGCTTTATTACTATGGGACACGTGGGTTAGTCAAGGAAAGTTTGCTTCAGCGATATTTCAGCATGGTACTTTTGATCCCCCTTCAGCTTTCTTTTCCCCTTGCACAAGTTCTCAGGCATATAGGTGCTTTGCTTATTATCCAGATTCACTCAGGGCTGCTGCTTTCTGATGTTTTGTGCAGGACGTTCGTGGTAACGGTCAAGATCCTGAATCAGAGATTGTCCAAGCCTGCAGAAGTGTTAGTATTTGTCTCCTTTATTTCTTCTAGTGTTGTTAAAATGGGATGGACTATTATCTCATCTGCTATTTGAACATGAAATTAAAAAACATGATAATCTTTTGTGCAGTTACTTGATGAGAGGCAGGGAACTAATGTCTGGCGGTTCCTTCAGGCAATTAACAGGTAACAAGAATATATCCTTGTTGTGCATGACCTGAACAGACAAAGAAATGGGGATCCGAATGATCAAAATTTGATTACTCTGTCCATCAGGCGGCATGATTTAACGGAATCATTGAAGAAGCTTCAGTGCCGGACGCTGATTTTTGTTGGAGAAAACTCACAGTTCCATGCTGATGCTGTCCACATGACGACAAAGCTAGACCGGAGATACTGCGCCCTAGTCGAGGTAACATACAGTTCCAAAATTTGAGGTTACAATTTGATCTCTACACTACACAGAGGAGTAAGGCGGATGGCTGAGGTGGTCTTTTGTGGTCAAAATTGTGCAGGTTCAGGCTTGTGGTTCACTTGTCACAGAAGAGCAGCCCCATGCGATGGTGATCCCGATGGAATACTTCCTTATGGGATACGGGCTTTACAGGCCATCCCAGCAGGAAAGCAGCCCCCGGAGCACACTGAGCCCGTTCTGCATATCGCCCGAGCTTCTATCGCCGGAGAGCATGGGAGTGAAGCTGAAGCCCATCAAGACCCGCATCTCGCTTAACGTTTAGCATGGGTGTTTTTTTTGAAGAAACTGGAGGGGCGGGCCCCTACAACGTTTAGCATGGGTGTTGGGTGAAGACTTCTCGGATGGCCATGGCCTGACAACCACAGCTCATGAAAGTGAAGACTCCTTGAGCTGAGTTGTGCAGCCACAAAGTTTTGATGCCTTTCGGCACCTGGCCTGCGAAGATCTACAGGTTGAAGGCAGTTTTTGTTGATGCATAGAGGTTGTAGGCGAGGGAGTAATGGGTTAATGGCTGTTTGTTCATATATATAATCTGTATGTAGTCAGTACACATGTATATCTCAACACGGCATCGTTTCTACGGTACAGAAAAAGAAAATGGGAAAGCTGAATCCCCGTCCGATTCTCACATGGCCCTCAGTGTTCAGCATCCATTCACAAACAGCACAGCAGTACACAAGGCCAACGGTGGTAGACTCTTGTGTTATGTTCTACCAGCAAGCCATGGGAATCATGCCTTAACACATACCAACAGGATATGCTGCGAACACTCACAAGAAGATATGCTACAAGAGCTGTCAATCTGTTACACTTACACATAAACAAATCTGTTACTTACTCAAAGCCCGGCAAGCGAGCAGCAAGTGCTAAACTACATAAACAACACACATGGACACCTTCTGCATCTGTTACACAGCACCCATAATACATGTTGCAAGCACTCCAACACAGAGATGAGAGAAGAAATATGTTACAAACACAGTTAATCGACTATATAATGCTGCTTTGCAATTAAGTCAAACCTGCCAGCGGCAACCGATAAGCTTAGCCTCACCTACTGTCAGAGCAGGGCGTGATGGGACAACTTCAATTGTCAGCACATCAGACTACAGTGGCCAGTGGTTTCAAACTTTTAGGGATGAGTTGTGGTCTTCAGCCTGGGAACGGTGAAATTCGGCGGGAGGAGCATAGGTGACACAGCAGCTTTAACTTGCAGAGGCCTTGTGTAACATCTCTGGTTACCCTGCATGTTGTGACAACATATTCTCAGCACAACTAATTATAAAGGTATACATGAGAAAGCCAGTGCACATATATGCCACATTTTGAGCACCACAAATCAGGGCTACATGAATAAAAGGTAAAAAATCAAAAACAAAAAAAAAAGACCAAAGTGCAGGTCCAACAAGAGTGTATAACAGCTTAAGAAATACTCCATCCGTTTGAAATTACAAGATGCTTTAGTTTTTTTAGATACATTACTTTTACTATGTATTTAGACAATAGTGTATATCTAAGTGCATAGTAAAAGGTACGTATCTAGAAAAGCTAAAACGTCTTATAATCTGAAATGGAGGGAGTATAGAATATACTCCATCCATGCCAAATTATAAGATGTTTTGACTTTTTTAGAAACATTGTTTTTACTTAGTATCTAGACATTGTGTATATCTAAGTGCATAGCAAAAGTTATGCGTCTAGAAAAGCCAAAACGGCTTATAATTTGCAATGGAGGGAGTAACTCTTTGTTAAAGAGTACAAAGACAATCGAGCAAGGGACTGCAAATGTTCGTAATACCAACTCCAGTTCAGTTCAATGCAAAGGAATATGAAATTATGAATCAGAAAACTACCAATAAACTATTTCACAGATCCATGACCAATCAGAATTAAGAGAACACTACCTAGTTCTGATCGACTTAACTATGTGTGATGGTCCTTTATGAGCACCTATGACTCACACAGCGCTCGCCTAAATTTCATCAACTTCATTGTTTGTCCATATTTACAGCAGGACGCAACTCATGCAGCCTGCCAAGAATTAGGACATTGTAGAAACCATATAAAATATAGGAAAGTCATATGGCGCCCACGGGGGCCTGGCACTCTCATTAGTTAAAATACTTGCAATGCTTCAAAAATCATCAATGTAGTACACCTAAAGTTAAGTGTAGCCACAACAATTCAGTTTGAAATTCATCTTTGATGCTGAGTTTTAAAAAACAGAAGTATCACTGTCAGCACATGATGAACAGTGCCAGGTTGACTGCTTGTCTATTTTGTTTCTTAGCATCTAGGATGAATTTCAAACTGAATTGTTGCGTCTATACTTAACTTTATGTGTACATACATGATTTTTGTGATGATTTTTGAAACAATGCAACATGGTATTTTAGCTAACGAGGGCGCCAGCTCCCCTGGGCACCAAATCTGCACTCTAAAATATAATATTTTACCCATCACACTATGTTTCTGTAAATATAAAACCGTATCAGCAATAAGGCTACCAGCATGTTTGCACGTTGAAGATGTAATCAACAATGAAGAAACGTATCCTGCTAGGTTCTTACTAATCTCTGGCAAGTGAATGTGGTCCCATTACGAGCACTTACAAATCATTTAATAATCAACTAAATTCCATCAACCTTATTCTCTGTCCATATTTACAGAAAGATGCAACTCATGAAGCCTGCCAAGAATTAGGAGATTAAGTTAAGACTCAAGAGCACAGAGGTACATATTTACTATTTGCAGGCTATAATTGTAGAATAGGTTGATTAATCCACAGTTCCACAGTCCAGTTCATTTTAGCACTTCCAGAAACGACGCTTCTGAAGGATATATATATTTTAGAAATCATACAAAGCAAACCTAATTTCTCAATTTCTTACCAATCCATATTTACAGCAAGACACAACTCATACATAGAGCCTACCAGAGTCTTTAGATAAACTCTAGGTCAGCTAAAACAATTAGTCTATTTGTTTATGCACATTAGAAAAACGATCAAGTTCACTTAATAAAACAACATTTTCATTGACCATACATGAATAACAAACGAAAAGTGTTGCTAATTGATAGTCATAGATCATGTGTTGGCAGTGCAATATGAGCCTGCTATATACCAGTAAACAGAATACTTACACACGACAGGGAGGACTTTAAGGAGCTACGCTTGCGCTTCTGATTAGTCTCAGACGCACGCATTCTTGTAGTAGTCTTCACTTCTCGCCTATCAGGTGTGACCTGGTAAGTTCTTGATATATCAGGTGTGACCTGGGAAGTTCTTGTAGACTTAGATTTTCTGTTTGCCTTATTAGTATCCTTCTTCGACATCCTACTAGTCTCTGGTTGACCATCTTCATTTTTATCAGTTTCAAGATCCTTGCCCTTGACCAAGGAGCGCAATTTTTGCAGCTCATCCTCAAGAATTGACATCCTCTCTTTGGCATTTGTCACCTCTACTTGTAGTCTAACGATTTCATCATCCTTCTTTTGTGCTGCCTCAGTAGCCTGCTTTACCTCTATGTTCTTGCTCTTCATAGTCCCACTGTAATCTTCTTCCATTGTCCTAAGCTGGTTCCACACAAATTTATTTCCTGCTTGTAATTCTGAAATTTCCTTGTCCTTCTCTGATTTCAGGATCTTGTAAGCTTTCTTTAGTTTCCTTATCTCTTCCCTAATATCTTTCCCACTTTTCTGGTGATCTGAATTGTCGGTACTGATCTCCACCTGACTTTCAAGCTTCTTCAGTTTTTCCTGGCATTATGAGAGAAGGTAAAAAATCGGTGAGATGGACAATATGAAATCCACAATGGTCCAGTCAAACTAAAGGACAGAATATGAAATCCACAATGGTCCAGTCAAACTAAACTCATGTATTTGTAATTACCTTCAGCTCAGTATTTTCAGCAGCCAAATTCGAAATACAACTTTTGAAGTCCTCCAAATCATCCTCAGCAAGCTCTGGTTTGAGCACACAAGGGAAGGTTTGACTTTAACTTCCAAAATAATAAGTTGGAATCTCAAAATGCGACATGTTGAATATACAAGGTGCCAAACATAAAATGTCTTTTCAACAGAAACTGTAAACCATATGGAAAATGCTGCACAAATCCAACTGGACCAACACAACTGTAAAGCCCAATTAGGTGAGAAAAATAACCGACATTCAAGTTCTTGACAAATAAACTATTTTGTTGTACAAGTCTAGACTGCTGGAAGATCCAAAAGTAAATAAAATAATGCACATGGCATAGTCAACAACAGTTGGAATCACAAACTGCAACGTGGAGATGTAGTTAACATACAAGGTGTCAACTTCTAGTGTGGTGACTGTTTTATACCAATGTTTTCCACAATGGCCATAGCCGAATTTCATTACAGGTGTAACGAAATTACAAGGTTCCACAGTTTTAACAAGAACGAAACGCCACTACCTGAACATCAACGTGTCCATGGAAATGATCACCCAGGGATCTATCCCATGATTAACAACTAATACCAAACCAAAAACGTTAAGATTGAGTCTACCAAAACCCCCCCGCAGACACATCAAGCGTTCATTACAGGCCACCTGCCCAGAACAGCGCGCTGGCCGCACGACTACAACGTCCTCAAAGTTAACCAACGGTTTTATACCAATGTAATCTTAAGAGACAACTCCAAGCTACACAATGCACAGCAGAAACAAATAGAGATGAAGCTTGGCACAGATATGCAATACCTAACTTGGTTCCTCCCCTTCCTTACCTGCAAGGTTCTGGTAGCAGTGAATCTGAAGCTCCTTGCCACCAATACTCACCGCCGTCTCAGCATCAGCGACTCTCTTGCGGAGCTCCTGGTCCTTATAGATCTGGAAAAAGAGATGGCGAAAAGAAAAAAAAGAAAAGAAAGAAAACCTAGCGCGCGTCAGCGGCGGCCTTCCCCGAATCCAATCGCAAAGAGGAACAACCCGCAGACCGGGACCCGAATCGTTCCTACCTTCTGGATGCGGGCCTGGTAGATCTCCTCGCGCTCGCGGCGGCTGCTCTGCAGGAACTCGATCTCGGTGATGAGGTGCTCGCGCTCGACGGAGAGCTCCTCGGCCTGCCTGTACGCCTGGCGCAGCATCTTCACCAGGCGGTCGTACGCGCGGCGCCACGCCGGCAGGTAGACCTGACCCGGAGCGGGAGCGGGAGCGGGCGCCAGCGCGGGAACCAGCGCGCCGACGTCGTCTCTAGACATGGAATCCGCTCGAATCGGAGAGCAGAGGGAGGCGGAGCCGCGGAAGGGACGGCCGCCGCTTTGTGGAGGCGCGGTTTGTGGAGCCGCGAGGAGGGGAGCGGTGGCGGCGTGGGAGCGGAGCGTAGGGGAGATGACCGTTGGATGCGGGGGCCGGGCGGCAGGCTACGAGGAGCCGACAGCCGAGGACGAGGGTCAAGGAATTTGAACAAGAATGGGCCCCCGTACCACAACGGATTGCTACGTGAAGTTGACTGTCAACTTCAATAATTCTGGAATACTTGCAACGTGATTTTTTTTTGCGAACTTGCAACGTGACTAAGATGTGGCAACATGGATTGCTACGTGCATGCTTGACACAACTGATTTTCTCAGTTTTTAATACAAGTATGCTCTCTTTGATCAAAGATGCAAATTAAAACAACCAAAAGACAATTTGCTCTTTGTTGCATGAGACTTACTCCTTCCATCCTTAAATAACTATCATTCACGTTTCTCAAGAAATAACTTTAACTAATTTTATATAAAAGTATTAATATTTATGGTACATAATTAATATCATTAGATAGATCGTTGAATTTATTTTCATAATAAATTTATTTGGAGATATAAATGTTGCACGTATTTTCTATAAATTTAGTCAAACTTATGGCACGGAAAAAACAACAACAGTTATTTAGAGACGGAGGGACTGAGGGAGTAGGATTTACAACTTAGCACTCAACATGCACGATGCAAATAAACATCTGATCAGAAATTCCTTTTAGTGAAATTGACTTAAATCTTTTCAAAGACAAAAACAAATCATGCCTTGCTGCAGAAAAAAAAAATGTTTGTTACACCTGATACTTTCTAACTCTCTCCATATCAAATGATTTCACTTCATGAAACAAAGTTTTATGGCAGGTTAGCATTGCCCATTTACACAAAAACAGAGCCTATTCAATATAGTTGGCTAATTCATTTCATCAGTAGATATCATTTTCTGAATTATGATAATATAGGCAACTGTTTGAATGGATCAGTTCCTTGGGCTAAATAGCTATAGTCCCTGTCCTCCCAGGTGATTAAATGATACTAAGTAAAATGCAGATGAATGGATATTAGTACAGCTGAGAATAAGTAACGGAAAAGAATTGTTGTGAGGTCACTGATTTTTTTATATACTAAAGGAAAAAAATTGTTGTGAGATCGGGATCCTTCAGTGCTACTATATTAGGGGTTCCTAGGCCCCTAGGCTCCTGCAGCCTGTTCGTTTAGTTGTGGCTTATCATAAATGATTGTAAATTTTTAGCGGAATAATATTTTTCTCTCACATAAACCAGCCAGCAGTACTTCTTCACAAACCAGCAACGAAACGAATCAGCCAACCGAACATGCTACTGGTGTACTAAGTCAAATTATCTTAAATTTAACTATAAAAATACACTACCGGAAACTGGGTTTAAGCCGAGTGCAAAAATATTTGCCGAGTGCATTCTATTGGGCACTCGGCAAACAAGACTTTTGCCGAGTGCTATAAAAAATACTCGACAAAATAATTACACTCGGCAAAAGAGAAAAAAAACACTCAGCAAAGTTCGACACTCGGTAAACGAGAAAAAAAAACACTCGACAAAATTAGACACTCGGCAAAGAACGCCACGTGGACAACCGTTAGTAGTCCATCCGTTAGTACGTTTGTCGAGTGTTCATTAGTGGAAACACTCGGCAAAGAAATATGTTTGCCGGGTGTATTTGGTTGGCACTCGGTAAAGAAATAAGTTTTTTTCTCTTCTAACCTTGAAACTTTTTCTGCTCTCCACATACAATATGTGGTACTCCATGTTAAGATTTGGTTTATTTTTAGATCTGTTTGCTATATTTAATTAATTTATTACAATTCAAGAAATTTTTGGTATAAGTTAAATTTGAACTGCAAGTGATTCAAATAATATAATAAAATGACTAGAAAAATGATATCTATGTTATTGAGTTCATTGTGCGGCCTTACCTGGTAAATGAAAAGAAATTTCGAACATCTTATTCAGGAAACACGACCATGAATGTGTGGTCGAATGATTTTTAAATTCTAAAAAAAGAAAACAAAGTCTGAAAATCATGAGATTTGTCATGATGTGATGATATCATATGTGGAGGTTGTGGTAAAATATTAAGAAAGTTTCGTACAATTTGTCACGTATGATGTTTACAAACTGAAGCATCTCAAAAGAAGAATCCTAGCGTTGAGAAGGATTCGGTAAGATTTGAAGTCAAAGTGATGGTCGAATTGGGGTTTAGCTTCAAAACTTTTTGTATAGGCAATAGAGAACATAGATTGTTTCATGTGAAATTTTGGTAATTTTTTGGATCCATTTGATAATTTTAATTTATTAAGTGTAATTATAGAATTTTAATTGATATAAATTAAATTTGAGTTTTAACTACATAAAATAATGGAATAATATTCCTAGAAAAATCAAATATATATTGTTGTGTCAATTTGACAAGGTATTTTCAAAGTATATCAGAACAAATTGAGAAAAAACATGTCCTGAAAAAGAAGGAGAAGAAGGAAAATGAAAAAAATAGGTTTGTCGAGTGCGCATTATGTGGCACTCGGCAAAGATGACGTTTGCCGAGTGCTAGACCTAGGACACTCGGTGTCGGGAACCAATACTAAGGTACCCGAAGAGAAGGGGCTAATGACCATCAACATTGACTCATCCGAGTAGTCAGGAGCACACACGCACACACGCACACACACACACACACACACGCATCCCGCCCCTACCCCGGCGTCGCCGCCTTGCCTGCCCCCCCGCCCCGCCCGCGCCTTGCCGGACTCCGGTGCCCGCTCTTTGCGCCCGCCGCTTGACCTCCGCCACCCGCCCCGACCGCCGCCGCCTCGTGCCCCCGGCGGCCAGCGCCCTCTACTCGATTTGGTACTTCTCACATTTGAACGACTTACATGCTAGTATACCGCAAGCATTGTATTGCCAAATGGCAGTTACTATAAAAATTGGAGACCGAGGGTAAACATGTAGCATGACAGACAAACAATTTATTTAGACTTTAGACACTGCTATAGAGCCTAGATAGGGTCATTATTTTAGCATGATCATTACCTCTTTTTCCTATCATGTAATGAGCATTAGAGTTAACAATTAGTTTCATCTTCTTACAGCCCATTAAATTCATAAAACATGAAAAGTTTCAAATAGAAAAATTGGATGCACAGCTTGGATGCTTCATTGCAACACAAACTAAATCAGATGATTAGGTCCAAATAAACCATGTATATTTGTCGCTAGCTGTCCTATGTCCAAACTCCTGATTGAACATGCAACACTTTGCAAGGTGAGAAAATTTGCACTCACAGCATGAGAACGTGTGAAAGACAACAATCAACCTATGCTCTAGCTAGATGCAGGAGTGCAGGCAGACAACTAACTTGTTTACATATCAGAGATGAAAAACAAAAGTTCTTGCCATATCTTTAATACAAAGTAGTGGTAGAGTCATGCTTGCGCTCGTATACTTGTTTGATTAGAAAAAAGCTCTTATGTCTTTTTCCTTTTGCATGCATGTAACTTTGGAGCTCGTTGTGAGAAATAATGCTTATTTAATTTATGCCAAAACCAATTACCAGCCATTGAGGAAAGCAATTTGTTTTTTAATCCCATAACCTGTGTATGTGGTTGTCGGCCATCGTGCCGTTAGTTTGGTGTGTATGTTGTTGTCGGCCATCGTGCCGTTAGTTTGTTGCAGGTTTTGGTTATCTCACCGTGCAGGGGAGGTGCTGTCGAAATTTACAATTGACACTATTATGTTCCTTTGTTGCAGGAGAGGCTATTGCAAAAATTATTCCCCATCGTCCTCGACTCGTCACTTTGTAGGACAGCAAGGTGAGGCATTCTACACCCCTCTTTCCATATGATGTTCGTATCCTTGGTCTTTTGATAAAGGAAAAGTTCCCTGGCCTAGTGCAATGAATGAGCCATCGGCGTGCAGCAACGAGTTCGTCTACAGCCGCCTCGATGGATACACGTCGATGGCAAGGACAGTCCATGGCCCAGAGTATGATCCGAGCCCATGACCTTGATGGAGAAGTGGTCATGAGGGTGGGAAGAGGCAAGAAGCATGGCTGGTTCTGAATTGGCGACGGCACAATCGACACGGCCAGTACTCCCACTCTCTCTCAGATTCGAGCACGGAGCACAAGTTCCAGCCCGGTGATACGCCCACGGCCGGACTCTACATGGTTCTAGATGGACGCACTTCAAGTTATTTCTGTTTTATTCATCGTTCATTGATTTTTACATACTTTTACATTGCATTGTAACATTGAGATAAAATATTATAGGCTCAGCTGGAACAAGAAACGAGACGTCGGGAGGAGCTAGAGGCGAGGATGGAGACAAAGCGACAGAGGATGGAGGCAGAGCGGCAGAGGATGGATGCTGAGCGAGCCCAGATGTTTGAATATATGAGGGGTGTTTACGCTGCAATCGGTCAACCTCCGCCACCGATGCCAGTCCCTCCTCCTCAACCTGCTCCAAATACTGTTTCCGGCACTGTGAGTCACTTCACAACCTTATAATCACCGTTTCTAGTTTATGCAGAATCAATCTTTTTTCCTTTGTGATGTGTGTATGTTTCTAGTTTCTAATTTCTAGTTTATTTGTAGTTTGTAGTTAACCTTGTAATCACTGTTTCGTTCTCAATCACGGTAACTTAGCTACTTTTAGTTTCCGTAGAATTAATCACTTTTTCTAGTTGCTAGTTTATTTCTAATACTTGTATGTTTAGTTCTCAATCACAGTGAATGATTTGTCTCTTCTCCTTTGTGTAGAATCAATCTGCGGCATCGAATGAACCTTATGACCGACAGTGGTCATAGTGGTCACCGTGGTCATAGTGATTACGCTTATTTGCATTTCTGATGAGCCTGGAGAGCGACTGTGAACTATGTACTTGTGATTCTAAAGTTTATTTGCATTTGTGATTGTGAAGTTCATTTG